CGCCCTCGCCGCTGCCGGGACGGCACGGTCCGCTGTCCCGCGTGAAGCGCTGCCCGGCGCGCGGGCCAGCATCAACCTCGGGCGTGTGCGCGGCGCCCCAGCCCGTGCGTGTGCCAGGGGAGCTGGGTGTCGTGTCTGAGACCCGGAGCTGGCGTTTGCATAAGTTATGGGAAGTCCTGTTTCATATCGACAAGTCTGATCGCTCCCGCGTCGCTGCAGGCGTCTGATAAGTCGTCTCTTTTAGTGCGCTCTGCACCCTGCGCTGTCATGCCGCGACACCAGCGCTCCGTCTGTTTTCCGACGTCGGCATGCCGAGCTTGTTTAATCTCCGATAAACACCCAGCGCGCTAACTTTGCTGTAACAAGCACACCGACTTCCAAAGAGAAAAAAATGAATCATAATAAGGGCAAAGGAAATAATCAGCACGTTATGTACACACGGCCGCGCACTTCACAGCTGTCTGTGATTTTAGACTCTGGCGATGAAAGTGAAGACGGAGCGCTGCGCTCGCTGCCCCTGACTGCTGGTGTAACTGAGCGCTCGCGCTGTAATGGTGCCTCTGGGCGATCAGAAGACCCGTCTGTCTGCGTCCGTCATCTGTCTCTACACTACCAGCTGCCCTTACTACGCAGACTTACAGCACACGCGGCGTTACATCTAACAAAAGCCTAACAGTATATCCAGGCAGCAACGACAACACGATTGAGCTCTAAAAATAACCAATCAACAACCCCCCCCCCAAAAAAAACGTCGATTTCTTCAATCGCTAGGCAGGCACACGCGTGACCGAGTCAGGTGCAGTTGTGCGTGGAGGCTGCAGGTCTCTCGGACCCATGTGCACACCTGGCTGCAGACACTGACCCAGGCTCCCCGGCAGAAAAGATTTCTGGAAGTCATTCCTGGAGGAGCTCATCCGTTCCACTGTGCCGATCAGGGAATTTCAGGAACCAAGGGCTGGTAGAAACGGGATAATCCTGGAAGGAAGGATATGCTGACTCACTGGTCCTTGGAGGTGAAGTGGGATTAAGGCCACAGCCCAGTGTGGAGGAGAAGAGAGACATTGAACCACCACTTCATCACTTCATTCCCTGCTAGGTTCAGAACCAGTCCTATCACACCAGGACAGCCAGTCCAGTGGTTCAGGTCCAGTCCTGTTACACCAGGACAGCCGGTCCAGTGGTTCAGGTCCAGTCCTGTTACACCAGGAGGACAGCTGGTCCAGTGGTTCAGGTCCAGTCCTGTTAGACCAGGAGGACAGCTGGTCCAGTGGTTCAGGTCCAGACCTGTTAGACCAGGAGGACAGCTGGTCCAGTGGTTCAGGTCTTTCTGCCTCTTATGCGGTCATCCTGTACTGGTAAACCACCTTTCCTTGGGATGAGGTGTAAAACGGACTTCCTGTTATCAGTGACTCTGCAGTAACAGCTGATGAGGACCTGCAGCCTGTGGCCCCCAAGCCTCTGCTAGACCCCTGGCTCACTGTTAGGACTGATTCCACGCTCACAGCCGCCGCGCTGTAGCTTCTGATTTGAGCACTTGCTGCGATGGGGCCCTCTGCTGGCCGGAGAGGTGTATAGCAAGCATGCGCACCTACAGCACGCCAAGAGCCCAGATCCCTGTCATTCCCCCGGTGAGTGAGCCGCCCATGAGCTAATTGTGCAATGTGGACACAGGAGCATCCTCTTTATTTAGCGGAAGGGTGATGCATGTGACTTACAGCTCCGCGCTGCGGTGATCCCCAGACCAGGAAGAGCTGCTGACCTCTCGTAGCGACAGCCCACACAGAGAGGACCTGCTCCTGCCATCCTGCAGTCCAGTGGGCCCGGAGCAGGGATGGGAGCCTGCTCACGGCGCCCCCCGCTGGGGAGGAACAGAGCTGCGGCACCTTCAGGTGGTGCTGCACGAGAGGCGCTATATAGACAGGGCATTGTTATGGGTCTTACAGGCCTTGTGTTTATTCTCCGGTTTGCAAAAGTAGCGCTCCGTAGCACACTCCATAAAACAGCTCGGTTTACAACAGGGCGGCGTTCTCAACTCTCTGTCACTCGCTTGGGAGAAAAGACACTCCTCAGGCATTCCTACACCATCTGTCACGAAGCGCGTTCCTACGAGCACCTCTCACCACAAACGAGTTAACCAACTGTCCTTCCTCACGATCTTCCTCTCCCTCCACTCAGTCCCCGATCACGAGTGAGAATTACCCTTGGCTGCTACTCCGGGCCTGATTCCTGGCGACCAGACCTTGTTTCCTCCTTCGTCTCGCCTCTCGTCTTGATCTGGGATCCTTTTGCCTTTGGGATCTGGACACCAATCACTAGCTACCTCCTGCAGCCTCAGCGCCGCGTCGGGTCGAACCAGGCGCTCCGGAAGCCATCCCTGACACTGTCTTTATATCTCATCCCAGGACAGTCAGCGCCCTGACAGCCTCTCCGTTCTCCACCTCCCCAAGGGCAGCTCGTCAGCTGTCCATGGGGAACACGGGTGCAAGGGAACGAGAGGGGGAAAGGGGGAAGCATTTCACCGTTGCACAGTGCTGTCAGGCCCATCGGGGAGGCCCAGTTCCTCCCCTCCAGCACGCTTCCTGACACTGACCAGGTGGGTCAAACAGTTACTTTCCTCTCTTGCACAAGCAGGGGCAGCTTTATTGGGTAATTAGCGATTGCGGCCACATCGCTGCTTCTGTTTTCTTCGAAGACAGATGAGCAAGACCAGTCAAACAGACTCCTGAAATTATACAGGCAACACATCGATCACACGAGTCTGAACCAGCCCTGCCTGGACTCAGCACCCCCACTGATGCAGACGGTTAGCAGACACACTCGTCGGAAGGGACTTCATCAGGAGAGCAGGAGAGAGTCTTGTGTGGTTTCAGTCTTGACTGAGCTCAATAAGTCCTGCAGGACAGACTCACTGCAAGGGCTTCCCAGCTCAGGTCAGATTGGGCCCAGTGCTGTCCTCGTCTTCTGATACGCAATCCCTTCGAAACTAGCTGCTGCGGCTGTTCACGCAGGTCAGCTCCGTCCTGCGTTTACAGACCACACAGCTCCCGGCGATCACTCCCAGGCCTTCCGCAATGTGGTTAAGCAGTAATGTGCTCGTGCTGGATGTGTGCAATCTGTGACCTGGGCTTCACTGTGAAATTAAGCCCCGTCATTGGCCTCCCTGCAGATTGAGTGCAGCTGTCCTGTGCAGAGAGCCTCCGCCTGCAACCTCCCGAGAACCTGCGGATCGGAGTGAGAGGGGTCGACCCCCTACCTGCTTCCTTCCTGGGCGCTTTATTGATTAGATGATTTCTAATCGCAGGAATCCGATCAGGTCTGATCTGATCGGGTCGAACCCGATACCTGCTGGGGGCGTGGGCCTGCTCCCGTGTGGCAGAGCGCTGGAGCAGCTCTGAGGAGCACCGGGCCGGCTCAGCCTCTGCCGATGCAAAAGCTCACTTCACTTCGCAGGGAACTGGCAGGTGCCGAATGAGACCGCAGTGCCCGGGCTAACTCCAACATCCCACCCCTCGTGTGATCATGTGGCTTTAAAAATAGCCCTGTGGGAAATTCTGCTTCCCTTAGCTTGTCGTTTCCTGTCAGAAGCAGAAGGTCAGCCCAGGCACGGAGCAGTACATGCTCATGTGACACAACACCGGGCACAGAAAGGAGCAGCCTCAAGCACTGCAGCATCTGGGTCTCAGGCACACAGGGAGCCGCTCTTCATGAGCCGACCTGTGTCCTGTTGGTCTGGTTTTGCGTGTTTTTTTTTTTTGTCCTGGAAAAGATTCCTTGTGCCAATAATTCCATTTGCACTTCAGCGGAAATTGCTGACAGTGTCTTCTCAGGAAGAGAGAGAGAGAGAGGTGCAGCGTCACTTCGCATTCAAACACTCTGTTCCTGGGTGGGGCTTCAGCATCATGAAACAGGTGAACTGTCTCTGTGAAGGTCAGCTGCAAGACCACTGTCTGGTTCAGATGAAAGATTCTTTTGCTTCTAAAGCTTTGATTGGACCGGCTGTCCTCCCGGTGTAACAGGACTGGACCTGAACCACCGGACCGGCTGTCCTCCCGGTGTAACAGGACTGGACCTGAACCACCGGACCAGCTGTCCTCCTGGTGTAACAGGACTGGACCTGAACCACAGGACTGGACCTGAACCACCAGACCAGCTGTCCTCCTGGTGTAACAGGACTGGACCTGAACCACCAGACCAGCTGTCCTCCTGGTGCAGCAGGACTGGAC